ATCCCATCTTGATCTTACTTGTTTCGAAAGACCCACTTGGTTCCAATCACATTATGATCCTTAGGCCTCTCAACTAACTCCCATACTTGATTTCTTTTGAAGTTGTTTAGCTCTTCATGCATAGCATTGACCCAATCAACATCCTTCAAAGCTTCATCTATCTTTTTAGGTTCAATGGATGACACAAATGAGAAATATTCACAAAATGATGTCAATCTAGATCTTGTTTGTACACCTCTAGAAATATCACCAATTATAGAGTCCAAAGGATGATCTTTTGCTACATTGGTTGGTTGGAGCACTTGCATTTGATTGCTTGCATTTGATTGATCATTTGGTTGAGATGATGAACTAGCCACTTGTTGTTGAACTTGCACTTTGTCAACACTAGCACTTGCTTGACTTTGATCTTGAGAACCACTAGCTTGTTCATTTGAGTTAGAGAGCACTTGATTCTTATCATTTTCAACATCAATCACTTCTCTAGGTCTTATATCACCAATATCCATATTCTTCATTGCATTGACTAATTGAGTGCCTCTCACATCATCTAGATTCTCATCTTCCTCTTGGGAACCATTTGTTTCATCAAATTCCACATCATGAACCTCCTCAAGAGTACCACTATCTAAATTCCAAACTCTATATGCCTTGCTAGTAGTGGAGTAACCAAGCAAGAAACCTCCATCACATTTCTTTTCAAACTTGCTCAATCTAGTGCATTTCTTCAATATGTAGCATTTACAACCAAGAACCCGAAAGTATGCTATGTTAGGCTTTCTTCCATTCAATAGCTCATAAGGTGTCTTCTCCATCATGGGGTGACAATAGAGTAGTGCTACCTATCTCATAATCACTTTGATAAACTAGGTTGGCACTTAGGGTTTCATCAATTCACCACAACCAAACTAGAGCTTTTACCATACCTCTGGGGGGGGACTTCGCCTCGACCGACCCTGAGGCCGAGGGATCTGTCTCGCCCGACGGAGACCTATACCGCCGCCAACAACTCCAGATCCAAGCGAATGGGCCTGGATCAAAGCTCTGACACCAGGGAGGTGACCGGCACACCCCGATATAACTCGTGGCCATGACGGGCCATACCTAGAGATTCACATCAGGAGCAACGTCGGGAGTACCGGTGCTGTTCTACCTAACCCTCGTACGAGGACTGACAGACGCGTTAGTTCACCACGACGTCCGCCAGGACAGAGTGGAGCGCCACGACCGAGAGACGACGCCTGCGCATGACGCCAGTGACGGACAGGGCCGCGACGTGGAGCTATCCCTGCTGACGTCTATAGGGTCGGCGGGACCCGCGTGAAAGAAAAGAAGGACCCGGCGATCCTAGAGGACTTCTTCTCCTTCTTCTTCTCCTCTTTTCCCTCCACTGTAACCCATGCTTTTCCTTGGCCTATAAAAGGGAAAGCATGGCATCCCATAAGGGGCATTGCAACACATCGCATCGATTCGGACTAGAACCCATCGAACCCTGAACCGATCAGAACACATAAGCATACAATTGGGAAGTGACCGAGCTCTCGGCACCCGTTCGCTCCTCTCACCAGAGACTTGGGAATTGTCCCTCTCTCAAATGTTTGTAACCCCTTCTACGAACTTTCAGTGCTAGTAACACGAGTAACAGCAACGAACTAGACGTAGGGACATTCTGCCCGAACCAGTATAAACCTTGTGTCCTCTTAGCACACCATCCGAGCCAGACGCGTAATATTAGAAATTTACTAGTCGGTGACAACTCGAAACACTGATAGTTGGGGTGCCAGGTAGGGTCTTTTTTGCGCGTCTTGATATCCACACCACACCTCAGATGGCTAGTCACAACCTCAGCTGGGTCCCGGGTGCGCACGTGCGCTTCGAGGACCTAGACTTCATCGTCACGACGGAGGGAGAGTTGGCGACGGCTCCCGCCGCCGTCTGACCTCTCCACTCCACCGGCCTCGACGCAATCGCCGAGGCGCTTGAGGAGCTGCAGCTGCATGCGACCAGCTCCTCGAATTCAACTACGGGAGGTTAGATTGCCAGCTCAACGCCTTCCTGGGACACCGACCGTCCCGGGAGGACCTATGCCACCTCACCTTCTCGTTCGCCAATGTCATGGCGCAGCTTGCCGAAGGGGAGCCGCTCTCTCCGGAATACCTCATCCGGAGCGCCCCGACAGCGCTCCCGTTCGATCTCCGCAACGCCGCAGAGACCAATGGCCACCTTGTGGCACAACACATGCCTCCGCCCCCCGCGAACGACGAGTTCGTGGGGATGACTGAATATGTCATGGAGTCTTTCTACGACCTCCTCGTAGAAGAATCGGAGTCACCCTCTAGCTCTGACTCCAGTAGGGGGAGCCATCACCCCTCTCGTGAGTGCTTCATGGTGGGTGCCCCCGAGGGACACGTCGAAAGCATCCACGAGGAAGAAGCTACCCCAACGAATGACCTCGATGACGAGGTCGGGGGGGATGCAGGGGCCCTGCCTCGCCTGCGGGTGGAGCAGCTGAAGGCCCAACACCAAGAGCTCGAGGAAGCGCGACTCCAGCTCGAGCAAGAACGCGCGGAGCTCGATCGAGAGATCGAGCACCACGGAGATGGTGGACGTGCACGCACCATGGCCCGCGACGTGAACCGGAGGATCATCGATGACGATGAAGCACTCCCGCACTTCGCTCGGGCGAGCCAGAACATCGCCGCTGCGGCGGCCTTGCTCCGGGGGCTTCCGGGGTCCGCGATGCCCGAGGAGCGTCGATTGGGCCGCCGTAGCGCACCCCCACACGAACGGGCAGGTCGAGCGCGCAAACAGCAAGCATTGCGCTGGTACCACAGCCGTCGAGTACGGGGTCGGGCCTTCTAAAGAACAACGAAGTACGAGGCAACACAGGCACTCGGGGAGGGCAGCTTTTATGCCTCATCAAGGCGTGGCACCGCACCATGGGCTAGGCCATCGCTGATGAGGCGCTACAAGAGGGGGTTGCTGCCACCCGCCACTGCCGCTTGCTTGTGCCTACCCGGTCTGTTGTCGTCGACCACGCAGCAATAGAGAACAAAGGAGATGGAGAGATAGAGTTGGACATGGGGAGAGAATAGAGGTTTAGGACGGGACATAAAATCTTTGGGTGAAGTAGATCTAAAACTTTAGTCCATGGGACAATCTAAACTTTAGTTCATGATCCAAACAATCCCATGGTCTTAAGTTTAGTAAGCTAAGTCAACTAAATTTAGACCTTGGAATGCAAACATACCCGCATTATTAAGGCCTCACAAAAAAGACAAATAAAATCCGTGCGTTATTCAAACAACACCTGATTCTGACACAATTTTTGCATGAAATAAAAGGTGTTCAGAGCAACAGTAATAAATTTTAACATAAATAGAGCAATCTTCACTAAATAAATTTTGTTCTTAGAAACAAATTCGAGTCAAAATTCCAGCCTGAAACAGCTGACATTCATAATTATTGATGAATCAACCGGATCATTTCATATAAGTAGCACATCCAAAATGTTTCAAAAAAAAAAGTAGCACATCCAAATAAAATTACCTTTGCCAGCCTTTGATATAACACCCCTTGCGTCTCCAACATTTTCCACATAAAGATATTTACCACAATCAGCACTGTGCCGATGCAGTCTTTATATATGTTTCACCTGCAAGTTATCATGTCAGGTAGGTGATGACTGGGTGACGAGCAATGGACAATTAACATGGAAATGTTTTTTTCCATAAGCACGTTTTTCATTTTATTAAGAGAAAAAATAACATGGAAATGCTTGCACTAGCCAGCAAGTGTTACCTCTTCCATCTCCCGTTCATGTATTCAAAACATTTCCCTCTCTGTTTCTCTTCTCCTTGTCCACCCACCCCTTATTCTGATCCTTCTCCCTGGGTGCCTTCATATCCAGTTTCATGAAGAAAAGAACCCAACAGTTAGTAATTTGCACAAAAAAGTGTAGAGCAATAAAAAATAGCAATCTGGGAAATGTTTGGAAGGTTTCTTAGCCTCTCTTTGCAGAAAATGTTTTCCTCCATCTCCTCCATCTCGATCTGCTAAGCATCTCTAGCACTATATCTTTTCCTGCTGCCTGCTGCCTGCTGCCTGCTTCCTGCTGCCTGCTGGAATGCTGGTAGCAGTGAATCATGCATGCATGAGCTGCTGAGCACGGGTAGACAATGCCAGATCGGTCGATTTTGCTAGTGCATAAAAAGAAAGGCTGCTAGCTTTGAGATTTATTAGGTCCAGCTTCAGCAAAAGTGCTGAAAAAAGATGAGAGATGGGGACTCTCATTAGGCTTTTCTTCTCTCCTCTTGGTCGGAACAGACAGGACGGCACACGAGCGGTACCTGATACTCCTGATCTGATCACTGAACTGTGCAGTTTATGATGTGATTTGGGTTCAGGCTTAACTGAACGCTTTCTTTTTTTAAACCGTGTGGCTTGGGCAGTTGCCAGTTGGACGCACGGCCGGCGACGAGCTGCAGCCTGTCCGTGCGGACTGCGGAGTTCCAGGTGTGCAGGAGCAGCAACGATGCGATCCGTTTTGATGGGTGTGTCGAGCAATAAGTGACGGACAAGGGAGAGGAAACAAGATTCTGCATGTGCTGATTTCCTGCAGCGTTAACGGCCACTGATGACGGAGTCCAGGGGGAAACCGGAGGAGGGGCCGCCAATCACGGTGAGGACTGAGGAGTTACCGTACCAGTGGGGAGACGCGGATGGCAGAGCCATATCTTGTGTCCGCCCCTGTTTCCTCGGACTTGTGACGGATCGCACCGCAAATCCTGGTCGATTTTTGGTCGCTGCTCGGATTCGGTGGGTCAGTCGGAGCACCGTCGCCCTCTCTCCCCTCTCATATATCGATCGAGATCGGGAGGAAGCACTCGTACAGATCGAACTTTCATCAACGTAACTCATTTCGTGCAGCTCTCCGATCCATGATCCATCCGGCCGTGTTACTGAGAGACGACACCGTTGAAAGCCCTCCTCCTCCTCCCATGACGAAGGGCACATACGACACCGACGTGGTCATGGACGACGGCACTGTGATCCGGACAACCATCACGTCCTCCGGCGACGCCGTCAACCTTTTCCTCCGAGAGGTCCGCAAGCAAGGCCATGGCCATCCCCTCATCGTCGGCCTCGACACCGAGTGGCGCGTCGTCCACGACGAGGACGGGCACCGCAGGAACCGAATGGCCGTCCTGCAGCTCTGCGTGGGCCACCGCTGCCTCGTCTACCAGATCTTCCACGCCGGCTACGTCCCGGACGCCCTGAAAGACTTCCTCGCGTGTCCGGACCACCGCTTCCTCGGCGTGGCGGTCGACGGCGACGTCAAGCGGCTGTCCGAGGACTGCGGCCTTGTGGTCGCCAACGCGGTGGACCTGAGGCGCGTCGCGGCGGAGGCGGTCGCCCGGCCCGAGCTCCGGACTGCGTCACTGAAGACACTCACCCGCGAGGTCATGGGCGTGCTCATCGACAAGCCCAAGTCAGTGACCATGAGCAAGTGGGACGCGCGGCGCCTGTCCGTGGAGCAGGTCCAGTACGCCTGCATCGACGCATTCGTATCCTACGAGATTGGCCGGCTGCTGCTCACCGGTCAGTGCGCGGAACGTGCGGCGACCGGTGCAATGATCTCACCGTTCGTTGCCTCCGTGGTTGTTCCGGTGGCTTAAGCTTTGGACTGGACGTCTGGACATCATTTTTCTAGCGTCACTTTGTTTTTCTAGCTTATTACTAGGTTCAGGCACGACAGCGTTGCTGGCGTGCTGCAAAGTGCAAACCTGCAACAAGCATGTGAAGGTGTAATAGCTGGCACTTTGATGTATTTTGTGCCTTTTCTTAACGGAATTTTTGAAGTTTCGATCTATGATTACTTCTTTTGTTATTTTTAGGAGCATTAAAATTATCACGCGAGGTATAAATAAATGTATAATGCTCCACTGGGGACCGACCCCATTCCATGGCACAGATCTGGTACAAATATGGGAAATTCTCTAGCTTGTTGCGTTCCAATCTGCCACCGTACCCTCGATCACGGCATGATGTTACCTACATTAACATCTTAATGAAACACGTGCTAAGCACGTTCTCGGGGAAAAAATGTTACCTACATTGTGCTTGTGCCAATCGTGAGCATTTCCCCTGTCCTACTGATGGATGGCTATCAGTCAGCAGCTGCAGTCCGACAAGTGCAAGGTCTCTGTGGGTGTGTTTGGTTCGTTTCCTGGACAAGCCTCACTAACAAAAACTAAGACAGGCTAGCTCTAGCCAGCTTTAGGCAATGCAAGCAGCACATGTTTAGTTGTCTGTACTGGTTAAGCTTGGCTAAGAATTGATGTGTTTGGTTGTTTGCATAGAATCACCTCTCCCTGAAGCTGGTAACTTTACCCCCTTTGAAGACTTCCGTCGAACAGCTGGTGGGCATGGCAGCACCTCGACACCTCGGCGATGGCGATGATGAGGGCGTAGATGCCGAGGACTCCAGCCATGAAGACGGGGGCGATGGACTTCATGACACCCATGGACGCGACGCCAACGCCGCTCTTGGCCGTCCCGTAGGCGGGGCCCATGCCTAGGCATCTTCAGAGCGAGAGGGTGAGAGGAGTGAGGAATGGATGGATGGATCCGGCAGGGGAGGGAGGGAGATTTGATGGGTGCTTACAGGAGAAGACGAGCGCGTCGACGGCGCCGAGGAAGCCGAAGAAGTGGGGCCGTCTCGTCGGCGCTGAAGGTGGAGGCCACCATGGGTGGAGGTGGAGTAGAGGACGGCGCCGGGATCTCTTGTTGCTCTCGTCGACCGGAGAGGACGGATGGGACCTCCACCCGCCATGGAAGCTCCGCCGCGCGAGGTCACCGCCATGGAACCTCAGTCGACCTACCTTCCTCTCTCCCTAGCTTGTGGGGCCGCCGGGGCCAGGGCCGGGGGCGGTGAGGGCGCCAGGATCTGGTCCCGGTGGCCGGAGCCGAGAGCGGCCACTACACCGGGCACGAGCCTGCGGTCGTACATGCAAGGTCACCGCACGGGAGGTGAGGGGAGCGGGGGGCAGCGCGAGACGGAGCCTGGCTCCGCGAGAACGACCGATGCGGGCGTTTCCAGCAAACTAAGTAATCCGTATGAAATGGGCTTGTCCAAGCCTGGCTAGCAGGCCTTACAGGAAACCAAAGGACCAAGTTGCATTATACAAGCCTGACTAGGGGCTAAGCGAGGGAACTAAACACATCCTATGTTCCCTATTCGCATGTCTATTCAGAAGAAATGCATGTTCGTGTTTATGGAGCACCACACAGTAGATTAGAAAGGATCGCAAATGCCTGTCCATTCAGAAATGCAGTCACACAAACTGGAGCTAGATTATTACACAGACGAAAACATCAACGAGTCGACAGTAACGCTGCCGCTACCAAGAGTTTGCTGAAACGGCATGATCTTCTTGCCGTCCCCTAGCGCCTTTGGTCCGAGAGGTAAAGCCATACCGGCGGCTAGCGGCGCTCATTCGACGGCGGCTAGCGGCGCTCATTCGACGGCAGCTCTTCTAGGAACGTGATCGACTTGTCTCTCATGCGGTACCTGCCAATGTCGCGGCACGGTTGGGTCTCCGCCGGGTCATCGACGATCCAATTGTCGGACTCGGACCTCACGGAGATGTTCTTGTCTTCCTTCTGGCAATGGTCATCGGTGAAGTAGATGCAGTCCGCATCAACGTCGTGCTCCGACGCAGCGAACGACCTGGGGCCGCTGCCGCCCAGGAACAGAACCTCGCCGTCCAGGCTCTGCAGCTCCACCCATGCTTCGAATGGGAGGCGTACCCCTCTAGCTGGACTGGTACGCGGTTGAAAACCTTGAACAGGCTGGTGCGCCGAACGCCTCTGTGGCTGTAGTGCCAGCAGTAGCGTTCGATCATGAGCAACCGGCCGCGGGTACCGCCGCTCGAGGTCGGGCTGGAGGTAGGACCGCTGGTGCTGGTACGGTGCCCCTTGCTCCTCTTCGTCTTCGTACTCAGGATGCTTGTGCAGAAAACCTCCATCATTCATAGACTCGACGAGCAGGTCCGCATCTTCGTCCACGTCGAATACTCGCATCGTGTCCGACGCCCGTCCCATACCAGAATTGATCATCCCGTAGAGCCTCCCATTGCAGAAGGTGATGTCGTCGAAGGGATCATGGATTCTTTCGAAGTCCACCATCCTGGGTCGACGCCAAGAAGTCTGACCCGGGCGGCAGAAGAAAAGCTCGCCGGAGTCGACGATGGCCGCGACGATGCACCGGCCTGGGTCGTCCACGGAGGGCGCGCAGGAGAGGACGGCCTTGCGGATGTACGGGTACGGCTCCCGCTGATTCCTTGGCGGGTAGTATTCCACCAGCTTGTAGTCCGGTAGAAAGCGGCTGCGCGTGATGGTGCTCTGGTGCGGGAGCGGGAGCGTGGCGCCCGTGAAGGGGTTGAGGAGGAAGTTGCCGCGCTCGCGGTGCGCGACCACGAGCCAGTCGTCCATGGAGCCGGCAAGGCCCGCGCAGACGCTGCCACCGGCGGGGAACGGGAGCCGGTAGTAGACGCTCTTGTCGGAGAGTCTGTAGAAGGATGCGCGGTCGGCTGTCGGAGACGAGGGAAGGGAAAGCGCGAGCCATGGGAGCTGCCTAGGCCGCTGGAGTTGACGCTCGGCTGCGTGCCACGGCCGGCAGACGGCGCCGAAGCGGAAATGGTCGGCCAGCGTCGGAAGGCGGCCGACGATGAGGCCCAGGACCTCACATGGCGTGTCTGGCAACGACAGAGGACCCTGCTGCCCCTGATCCATGGCCATGGGTAATGGGTCGTAGTGCAGGGTGGAAGGGGAATTCCGGTGGATGGATTCTAACTTCTGAGTGCGTTTCTTGGAGGCCGCCCTGGCCCCGGCTTTTGCTGAGCGGCCGCGACGGCGAGTGGCATATACTTGGCCAAACGGGCCATCCGGCACGGGCACGATCAGGCACAGCACGGCTAGGCACAGCACTACGCAGCACGGTAGTGCCGCCGTGCCGAAGTACCGGCCCAGGCACGACACTATAAGTGCTTAGGCGTGCCGTGTCGTGCCACTGAGCACGGTCGCACTACAGTGCTAGTGTCGGCACGGGCACTAAAGTGCCTAACCCCTAATTGACTCAGAATGAGCACAGTACTCTATAAAAATTGAGATAGACAAGCAGATATGTCACTTTATTTATTGAATTGAGATCAAATCTACAATAAACAGCACATAACTTGCATTCTACAGCACAGATAACAAAAACACAGGCAGAGATAACAAAATAACAGTTTATAGAGAGCTTTAGTGCAATGGATGCCTCATTAAAAAACTGTCTACGTAAAACTCACCTTTGTGAGAAATCCTAGACAGAAAAAAAGAGTACAGCCCAGCTCTAATTATAAAGTTTATTGTCCTTACATCAAAGTCCAGTCTATAATATTACAGTTCCATTACATAAATGATAATTAATCAAGATAAAGTTCTTCAAATGCTTCTTCAAGCTCCTTGTCCTCCACCATGTGTTGCAGCCTTGCTTCTGCAGCCTCCCAATCTTTAATGCAGGTCAGCATCTTCACCATTTCAGGCTTTGGCTTCCTTCGCCGCTCCTCGATGATCCTGCCAATCATACTAAAAGTGAATTCTAAAGATATAGTGGACATATAAATAGTAAAAACATCTTTAGCCATGATTGACAGCATTGGATATGTGAATTTGTGCTGATGCCACCAGTTTAAGATGTTAAAATCATCATCTAACTGGTTCACAGTATCACAGTCCAAGTAAAAAATAAGTTCAGAAGCATTAGAAGCTGAAGAACTGGTAGCCTACAGCAGGGCCGTTGCAGAGGTATCTCTAGCCATACTTAGAGTAGCAGCTAGAGGATGCATACCACCAGTAGAACCACAAACATCATCATCATCATCATAAATTTCATCCCAAGCAGATATTTTCTTACCAGATAGGTTAGGAGGAACAGTCCTCCTCAACCTAACAGCTTCATATTTCTCCTCATACTTATTGTAGACATCAGTAAGTCGAGCTTTAGTGCCCAACTGGTAAATAGTATATTCTGTACTAGTAAGGTTACCCAACCTCCTAAACACTCTATTGAAACATTTCATTTTAGCTCTAGGATCCAGGATGAATGCAAAAGAATAAAGCAAAGGTATGTCCCTCCAGTATTTATTATATTTGTCTATCATAGGTTGAACCACAGGTCTGATGTGACTATCATTAGCATAATTCTTTAGGTGTAAAGCAATCTTAACAAGATAATGAATCATAAGTGAAGATGTAGGATAGTATACACCAAACAATGCAACTGTAGAATCATAAAACAGTTCAAGAAATATAAGCATTTTTTCTGCCATAGCCCAATGGTCATCAGTTAAAAGCAACTGAGCACCTTCAGCCCTAGAATATTGAGCATGCATGAAAGTAGTGAATGGGGCCTTATGAGGAAACAAATGCTTAAGCATTAGATATGTAGAATTCCACCTAACTTCCATGTTCAGCTAAAACTTTATAGGCCTAACACCAGTAGCAATGCAGTAACTTTTATATGCAGCAATTCTCTGGTTAGATGAGTTTAAGAAAGACATTATAATTCTAAAAGTTTCAGACAAAGGCTTAAGAGCAGTTAGGGCCTCCTTAACAATCAGATTGATAATAT